TGTTTCACATGCTATGCATGTGACATTGGAAAGAACCGTGTCCCCTCCCATGGGAGGTTCAAGTGTCCTGGAACTGTTTGGATGAGAGCAGTTATGTGCAGATGACGGGGATGGGAATCACTGGCCACAGGCAAGTGGAGTTTCGTGCTGCCTGTGGAGGACAGCCTATTTACTGGGTATTTTTTCCCCTTGTACTAAGACTTCCTTATACTCGAACAGAATTTCATATTTCTGGCAGGTTTCTATATTTTTGGTTTTCAGTGACAGCCAGTAAAAATAAGAGAGACATTAAACAGAAAGACATTCTAGGGTAATAAACCAGAAAATAACTAATTCATCAAGGTCAAGAGACAGGGAAATTTCAAGGTCCATCTATCCACGTGGATGAGCCAGATGGCTTGGTTTCCAGGTTTGGTCTCACTCTCCCTAGCACGTGGTGATTTATGGAAAGGCTACATTACATGGGAGATCTTTATTTGGAAATGTTTATTTTTATACTATATTTTGGACATCCCTAGTCTTTCTGTATCTCTAAAAATTACTACTCATCTTTGGAGGAAAACACAAGATTCTTTTGTCAGGATGCTCCCAGAAGATAGAATTGGCATTGGTAATCTTTAACTCTGGGCTTTTCTGGTGGTAAAAATGGCCCTCCACGGAGGGGTGGGTGGTCTGTCTGTTTTCTTACGGCGCTGTGAAGCTTGGAAGCTTGGAACTGGAAGGCATACTCAAGCCAATTTCAAGATATATCACTTTTGGCTCTTAAAAGGCAGGAAAAGTATGAAGCGGCCTCTGGGTTGAACTAACATTTTGCTGAGGGTGATTCCAGGGCTCAGTTCTGCATCCACCTGTGCTGACACGAGGCACCTGGAGTCGTGAGACAGCAATTCCCGGACGGTGCTGGCAGCGCAGGCAGCCAAGGAACACTACCCACCACCACTGCGGCTGCTCCTGTCGCTTGAGTATCTGGGGCTAAACATACAGCATTCCTTCTTGTTTTTAGAGGACCTGTCACATCATACGTTTCTCTTAAAACCTTAATTTCATGACTTCAAGAGTAAGAACATAAATCTTTTTATTTATATATATATGTTTTTTGAGACAAAGTCTCACTCTGTTGCCCAGGCTGCAGTGCAGTGGCACCATCATGGCTCACTGCAGCCTTGATCTCCGGGGCTCCAGCAATCTTTTTCCCTCAGCCTCCCCAGTAGCTGAGACTACAGGCATGTGCCACCATGCTCAGCTAATTTTTTTTTTTTTGTACTTTTTGTAGACATGAGGTTTCACCATGTTACTAAGGCTGGTCTTGGACTCCTGAGCTCAAGTGATTCTCTCACCTCGGCCTCCCAAAGTACTGGAATTACAGTAACAAGGGATCATGCCTGGCCCCAAAATCTTTTTAAATCAACACAAAATATCTACTACTGGACATTTTTGTTTCTGTTACTTTCTTCTCCCAAATACTTCAATGAATTAGCAATGCAGTCAGTACCATACATAATTTTCTTTTATTTAAATGATACATGTCTTCAAGAGTTTTCTATATTGTATGCCATAGACATATCTGTATACACACATATTGTATGTATTTGCAATTTGTTTTTAGGTAAGAATAACATACAGGGACACACAGTATCTCACCCACCATGTACCTATATTTGTCATCCTGAAAAGCAAAAACGTAGCAATTTAAAAAGGATCTTGGATCCTATCATTTTTAAGTTTAGAAAACAATATGGCAAGTTAAGAAATTTCATTTTAAAAATTTGAGCCTGTATGTCTGTCAAAGTTCCTAAGTTTAACTTTAAATTGGAATTTGACTTTAAGTTTTCAATTATAAACAATCCTTTCGTATCTCTGGGGAGCTGTAACCACATCTGACTCAGTAGCTCTAGAAATGTGGGAAGGCAGTACTACAGGATTCATTTTCTCTCTCTGATTATATGATTTAGAGTGACAAAAAGCAATGATTTTTATTTAGCTCTTAAGTACTGAAATCAAGAAGAAGGTTAAGACTTTTTATTTATACCACTTTGTAAATTATTATTTCTGAGTAGGGGTTTAAACTCAACTCCAGCTGGAGTCTATCGCTGTAGTTCCAAGCCTCCCAGAATGAGTCTTTTTAAATATTATCTTGGCTGGTGTGAGGAGTAACCAAGACAGTGCCTCTGGGTGACACACAGCTTTAGCTGCAACCTCAAAAATTCCATTACTCCCATGGCAATGAGCGGAGGGGAGAATTACAAACTGCTATTTAAGGCTTCTTGTAAATAGTTTATTTCAATCACAAACGTCACAGTTTTTACAAAGGAAGGGGAGGAAGGCAAAGGAATGAATTAAGAACGATCACAGACACTAAAAAGCCTGGGCTAACTCTGAGAAAGGGTTAATAAGATTTCAGATTCTTCACATTTTATGAAGCCTATAGTGGAGATGGTTGTTGACCTGCTGGGTAACAGAGCCTGATTTTATATATATACAGTGGTTTACTCTATTTTGATTCATATGGGAAAGAAAAGGTTTTGGCCAGATGCAATGGCTCATGCTTGTAGTCCCAGCACTGTGGGAGGCTGAGGCAGGAGGATGGCTTGATCACAAAATGATTTTACATGACTGGAGCTCCACTACAATTACCCCTTGATATGTGTGGGGGACTGGTTCCAAGATCCCTGAGAAAACCAAAATCCACGATGCTGAAGACTCTTCTATAAAACAGGGTAGCATCTGCCTGTATCCTACGCACATCCTCCTGCATACTCTAAGTCATCTCGAGGTTACTTAGAATACCTAACATAATGTCAATGCCAAGTAAATAGTTGCTATACTATACTGTTTAACAATTTTCGTTTTTTATTGTTGTATTGTTATTTTTTAAAAAATATTTTGATGGTGTGGTTGAATCTGTAGATGTGGAGGCCGCAGATGGAGGGCTGGCGGTGCTTGCCATACATCCTGCTCTTCTGATCCATCCAATAACCACAGCTGCCAGGGAGGGAGCCTTAGCTGCCAGGATGAGGAGCTGGGAGCTTAGAGAAGTGAGGCAGAGTCATGGCGAGGGGGCGCTGGAAACAGTAAACTTATAGTTCCAGTCTAATCCTAAAACCATCTGATACCAGTCACACGACACAATCTATGAAATGCATCAACAAAGAAGCTCTAAGAGAGAAACTCTACCCTTCCCATTCTATTTTCCTACTCTTAAAGTCAGAAAGCACAGAATTACTTAGTGGTTAACACTTTGGGGGAAATCAGTCTGATGACTGACTCCACGAATGATTTCTCTATAGAGAATTTGAGGGTTTGAAGGAAAGGCACCAGACACAGTTTTATAATCATCTTTCAGTTATTCAATATAATACAATAGGTTGTTACCCTATGTGAACAGGAAGAAAACATGGTTTCTGCATTCATGAGCTTACACTTTCAACCAGTGAATGCAATAATGGTTCCCATCATTAGATTGTTATAGGAAAAAAAAAGAAGAAAAGAATTAAATGTTAAGTAGCTGGAATTACACACACACACAATGACTTTAAAAGCATAGCGTAACTCCTCCTTAAGATAGTCCTCTGTGCAACCAGAAGCCCTATTTTACATATGACGACATTAGGGTCCCAAAGGGTTAAGTGACTTTCCTAGAACCAAGGCTATAAAGCAGAGGGCGGGCTTCCCTGGCTCCAAACCCACAGGCTCTTCCCACGTACCAAGTCGTCTTGCAGTCATACATCATTATATAATTTTACTGCCACAAACAGGGACATCTGTACGAATGGCAGAGAAATGAGTTGCTTCTTTCTCTTGTGTTTAAGTTATGCCAAAATTAGCCGGCATGATCATCTTTAGAAATTGCGCAAAAGAAGAACCAGCCTTTTCCCATCATTAGATTGTTATAGGAAAAAAAAAGAAGAAAAAAATTAAATGGCACATTAGGTGATAAATGGATAATGGTGGGATTAAAAGTTTGCCTGATACATGAAATGAGAAAATTGTGAAAAATGCATACACGTTAGGAAAAATTTCATAGGTTGAATCAACTCAATGAGGAAGAAGGTGGGGAAGGCCCCACAGAATGTGGAACTGAGTGGTGATTCTGTAGGTTAAGAGCAATATCAGGCCGGGTGCAGCGGCTCATGCCTGTAATCCCAACACTTTGGGAGGCAGAGGCAGGTGGATCACAAGGTCAGGAGATCGAGATCACCCTCACCAACAAGGTGAAATCCTGTCTCTAATAAAAAATACAAAAATTAGCTGGGCATGGTGGTGTGTGCCTGTAATCCCAGCTACTCGAGAGGTTGAGGCAGGAGGATTGCTTAAACCTGGGAGGTGGAGGTTGCAGTGGTGCAGAGATCGCACCACTGCAGTCCATCCTGGCAACAGAATGAGACTCCAACTCAAAAAAAAAAAAAAGAAAAGAAAAGAGGAAAATCAAAAGGTGCACCTTTCCTTAGATGCTGTCTTAGAGTGTCTTTTCAAGTCTGTGTGGAGAAACCAAAAGTCTAGCATGTCAGAGAAATAGTGATGCTTATTTTCAAATTATCATTTCCTGCACTGCATGGTCCGAGCTGCACCTGGGTAGGACAGACACGACCCCACAGCGGCAGCCCCCTGTGGCTGCCCTTACCACATCTGTGACCTGCCATGACGTGTACTTCTGGAGAAACACAGAAGCAACCAGTAGCTCGTCTCCTTCCTTTACGTGGTGTGACTAAGTTGCCAGGTTTTGCATACAAATGCAATCACACTATTTTCCTGCTAGTCATGAAAACTAAAACAGCAGGACTCCACAAGGAAGGCAGGAACATTCCGGCTTCTTTACAGGCTTTTGAAGTCAGTGTCTTCCTAGTCCGGGCTATAAGGAATGCTTTCTAAAAACGAGTCGATTTCAGTAAAACAATCCCCACTATATATATATTTTTTATAGGGAAGAGATGACAAAGATATAGGAATTAGGTTTCTGGTCATCTGACTAATGACTTTCTTCTAACATTGATCTTTTCTAGCTTGAGAATTACATCCAAGACAACATGAAAAAAGAAATGGTAGAGATGCAGCAGAACGCGGTGCAGAACCAGACAGCTGTGATGATAGAAATAGGGACGAGCCTGCTGAACCAAACAGCAGAGCAAACGCGGAAGTTAACCGACGTGGAAGCCCAGGTAAGTAACGCCACGTAAAGCACACGGTGTCCCGGCAGCTGGAGAGCAGCACTCAGCTGCACCAGGAGCTTCCTCAATGAAGGCATGGGACACGCAAGAAAGCACCACCACAGGAGAAAACCAATGAACTGATCAGAAATTAAGGATGTATGGCTGGTACATCCTTAAATTCATCCTTAATGAATTTAAAATCAGTAAATCGGTTTTTGTTTCTAATGCTGAGGTTACATTTCATGTATTCTATCTACTGAAGACATCTGAGTCACTTTCATGCCACTCATCCCTGACCACTGCAAGATGAATACCCCTCTCTGCTTCCCTGGTGCTTTCTGGACTCGGGATCATTTTCCATTTCTAAGTCCTAAAGCCTTTGAATATTTCAGAAATGAAAAGCACAGGCAGAGAGCTAGAAACTCTGGCCTTAAATCTAACTTTTGAGTTAAGATAAAACTGAATCTCAAAGAACCGTTAGCAGCCCATGGAATGAGTTTATGGAGAAGGAGAGAAGTGGGACAGCAAGAAGCGTCCTGCCACAGAAAAGACTGCACGCGTGAGCAAGAGCCCTGAGCTCTGCCATGACCCAGGTCCCCCGCTAGAAAGATGAACGCATTGGAACAAGGCACTCACATTTTCTGGGTCTCAAATAATACAAAGGATTGGGCCAGACAAGTGATTGCTAAGTTGTCTTTCCACTGTGAGATTCTATGAGCTAATGGTTAACAGTAACAGAAGGAAGACTATGAAACAGGAAACTAGTGGTCAGGTGTGGTGGCTCACCCCTGTCATCCCAGCACTTTGGGAAGCGGAGGCGGGTGGATCACCAAGGTCAGGATTTGAGACCAGCCTGGCCAACATGGCAAAACCCTGTCTCTACCAAAAAATAAAAATAAAAAATCAGTTCAGCATTGTGGTGGACGCCTATAATCGCAGCTACTTGGGAGGCTGAGGCAGGAGAATTGCTTGAACCCATGAGTTGGAGGTTGCAATGAGCTGAGATTGTGCTATTGCACTCCAGCCTGGGCAACAGAGTAAGACTCTGTCACACACACGCACACACACACACACACACACACACACAGAGGAAACTTAAAATAACAGCAAAATAGGAGAATTTCAAAAAGAAGAAAATTCATCCAGAGTTGTGCTAAATGAGGCACAACACGTGACCCAGGAAACAGCCTGGGTGGGAAAGGGAAAAGCGGCCATTAGGACAAATGCAGATGCTGCAAGTTCAGGGCGGTGGTCTTGACTCTCAGTGGCCAAGTCTGCTTGCTGACTCCTCATTCCAGCTTCTTTACAGGCTTTTGAAGTTAGTGTCTTCTTAGTCTGAGCTATAAGGAATGCTTTCTAAAAATGAGTAGATTTAAGTAAAACAATCCCCACTATATATTATTCATATATATATTCCTCTTCAGCTAAAAGGACTGAGAAATGGTAGATGTGAGATAGGAGGGGACTTGAGTGGGGAGAAGCCATAGCCCGCCACTCTCAGGAGGTCCCTTTTAGAAGGGCACGGTGTTCTTTCATTGTCTTCCTAAAAATGGTGGGATGAGGTAAGAGAAAACAGTAGTGAAATGATGGACAAACCTAAGACTTTTAGATGAGAGAATAGAATAACAAATTACTTGATTACCAGGTCTTTCCACAATATCAGAACAGTTTAGGGAAAATATACACAAATATTTCACATAATGGATCATAAGGTACTAAAACTTTAACCCTTAGGAAGTCATACAAACTCAAGAAATACCAAAAATTTAAGTCAATGTATTTATATATGTCTACAGTCAATTATTATTAGTTTGGACCACAAGTAACTGCAGTTTTTGCCATTACTTATTTTATTTATTTATTTATTTATTTATTTAGAGACAGTGTCTCACTCTGTTGCCCAGGCTGGAGTGCAGTGTTGCGATCTCAGCTCACTGCAAGCTCCATTTCCCGGGTTCAAGTGATTCTTGTGCCTCAGCTTCCCGAGTAGCTGGGATTACTGGTGTGGGCCACCACACCTGGCTAATTTTTTATATTTTTAGTAGGGACAGGGTTTCACCATGTTGGCCAGGCTGGTCTCAAACTCCTGACCTCAGGTGATCTGCCTGCCTTGGCCTCCCAAAGTGCTGGGATTAGAGGCATGAGCCACCGCACCCAACTGCCATTATTTTCAATGTCAAAATTGCACCAATCTATTAAAATAAATGAGTAATGATCAAGTCGCATGCCCCCCCTTTGGATAGTAAGACTGATAGGCAATTTAATAGCTTATCCAAACACTGTCCCATAAGCATTTTAAAAGTGTTATTTTAAAATATAGCATTGCTTATATTTTATAATAATAGATCCAAGCATGGGAGCTTGGCAAACATTTTTAATAACAAAACAATAGTAATGAAAAAGTGTTAGGACAGAGCGACGGTGCAAACCTTGCTGCCCCCTGTAGAAGTCAGAGACCTCAGAGCATTCAATGTGCTTGTGTTGGGTCCCATGATTTAAACAAAAATGCCTGTTGTGAAACTGGACATCATGTATCCAGGATGACAGGAAAATCCAAAAGTGGATGGAAAGTCAACAACTTTTCCATAGAAAGCCCAACTGAACACATGAAAATGTCTGAGCTAGCTGGGTGCTCTTGCTCATGTCTGTAATCTCAGCCCTTTGGAAGCCAAGGTGGGTGGATCGCTTGAACTCAGGAGTTCGAGACCAGCCTGTACAACGTGAGAAAACCCCATCTCTACCAAAAAAAAAAAAAAAAAAATTAGCCGAGCATGCTGGTGTGCACTTGTAGTCCCAGTTACTTGGGAGGCTTAGTGAGGCACAAGAATTGTTTGAGCCTGGGAGGCAGAGTCTGCAGTGAGCCGAGATGGTACCACTGCACTCTAGCCTGGGCAACAGAGTTCGACCCCATCTCAAAAAAAGAAAAATGGCTGAGTTAAGAAAGGCCACAAAGAGACTGAATTATGTGCCCGCTCGGCTTGAAGGCATTTGCTGAGCAGTTACTGACTTTGTGAAAGAGGTTTAAGTTCAAATATGAAAATTTCTGATTAGAAGTAAGATTCTCCAAGCCTGTCAGAATGAGAGACGATCAAATTGAGTGACGGCAGGTGGCTGGTGGTCCAGCTGTTTGATGCTCCCCAGAAAAGTGATGTGGAAGGAGGTCACCATTACTACTGGGCTGATCACCACTTAGATGCCATTCTTCCTTGCCTCCCCACCAAAGTTTACTCATTTTATAACCCTTATGAATTAAATAGGAGACACACTTTTCCAGTTCCTTTTAGAAATCACCAACATAGAATGTTTGGACCCAAAGAAGACGTAGGCCAAATCTATATTCCAGGTGTTAATATTAAAACCCAAACAAACCCTTATGTTGGCCAAGGACTTTATTCTCACAGAAGACTTTTTGTGATAAGAACTCGACCAGCTCTGACTAAGGATAAGCCTATCCCTGCAACCTGTGCTGCGGACCGGCCAAGGCTCCTGCAAATGACATAAAGACAGGAGCAAACAATGATTCTTTCAAGGTCCCTGGTTCTTTGGCAGCAATGCCGACTGCCATTTGTATGCGCTATCACATCCTGAGTAGGCATGACATGGAAGATGTGAGTAATCGATTCTTCCTGCTGAAGGGCAGCCAGGCGCTAGAGAATCCATGGGAGAGCAGCCCTGGTCAAGCCACATAGTAGGTCAGAAAGGCCCACACAGCAAGGCTGAGGCTCGTTTCACGCTGAGGCTCGTTTCACACTGACGCTATACTGTTTCAATTGGTTCAAACAAGTTTTAAAATAGGAAAGAGAAATGGCAAAGAAGAAATAAAAGTCTAAACAAGTAGCTACAAATGATGAAATGCCAGGCTAAAAATCATATTTTTATATAACGGAAGCATGTGACTTCTAATCTCTCTATTGACAAATAAAGATGAGAATAGCATTTTGTTCTGAGCAAAGGGAAAATAATTTGGACCTATGCAATATGACCATTTTATACTTCTACTTGTCTCATTGTGTGAAATGATAAAATATGGCAGACTAGAAAAATAACATTTATTATTTGACACAAATCCCGCTGTCCAGAACTATCAACCACTTTCCAAAATAGAGACATACGGCTGGTTGCAGTGGCTCATGCAAGTAATCCTGGCACTTTGGGAGACCAAGTGGGTGCATCACTTGAGGTCAGAAGTTCAAGACTAGCCTGGCCAACATGGTGAAACCCCGTCTGAACCAAAAATATAAAAACTAGCCAGGTGTGGTGGCATGCATCTGTAATCCCAGCTACTGGGGAGGCCGGGGCAGGAGAATTGCTTGAGATCAAGAGGTGGAGGTTGCAGTGAGCCGAGATCATGCCACTGCACTCCAACCTGGGCTATGGAGCGAGATTCCATCTCAAAAAAAAAAAAAAAAAAAAAAAGAAAGAAAAGATAAAGAGATGTGGGGAAAAAAGTAAAAAAGTTCAACACACTCAGATGTGATCTAAGACATGGAGCCTTTTCTGAAAATGAAAAATATGCTAAAATAAGATACTTGGGTGAATAAATAATGTTTTGGTTATGTTTTCATGTAGCTTGGGTGCTTTAATGGAAAGGAAGTTCAGAAGTTAAACTAATTAAAAATAATAAATAGGAACTTCATTGTGTCACATGCAGGTATTAAATCAGACCACGCGGCTTGAACTTCAGCTCCTGGAACACTCCCTCTCGACAAACAAATTGGAAAAACAGATCTTGGACCAGACCAGTGAAATAAACAAATTGCAAGATAAGAACAGGTAAAAATAACAGTACAAAAACATTTAGAATTCAGAATTGTACGCTTTCGAGATACGAAAGTTGTTCTCAAATGATGAATTCCCAGAACAGTGAGTTTATTCCTGTCTACTGTAAGAGTCAGGAACCTCATGAGGGCGGAGATGGGAGAGGGCTTGGAGACAGTTCCTGTGCAGGCACAGACCTCCTAGCACAGTCCTGGATTTTGCCTTCATTCCCTGTCCCCTTAAAGATCCTCTTACAGGAATCCTCCAGACCCTGCCTGAGTATTATACATGCCAATCTGTTTTAAAAATACAGCTAGTGTGTGGAGTGAAAGCACCGCTGGCCTAGGCATTTTTTTTCAGTATTAACTTGACCAAGATCCTTTGCCCTTAGGGACTCAGCTTCATTCGACGCAGAATGATCTACAATACGGAAGCTACGCTTAGACTAAGCCAATGCGCATTTTATGATCCGATGCTTCCTCTTCAAACACGTGATAAAGTAAAACCAAAATTAATATTAAACATGATTATATTAATATTTAAATAAAATATAGAAAAATACCAAGATCAACAATAGAAAAAAAAATTGTAGGTGATAGGTAGAGACTGTTTGCATAGGTTTGTTCCAGTTGGAGACATAAGAGGATAATTTCTTGCACACAACCGATGTGCCTATTTCCTTGTTTTTAATCAAGACGTGTATATACAACATGGAACAAGGCTATAACAATATATCCTATTTGACGATTTAAATCATTCTTTATTCTTAACCAGAAACGATGATGTTCCTGTTTAATAATTGTTCTTTACTGTTAATCAAGAACTAAGCTAAAATAATTCTTGTATACCAAGTTTAAGTCATTATTGATTTAGGGTTTTGAAAAGCAAATAGATTTCTAAAATTCAAATATTTTTCTTCCATGTTTCAGATTTCTCTTCTACAAAACAGTAAATGAACCTTTGAGACCAATCATTGAGATATAACAATCCTGCTAATTTCATTTACTTTTAAGTTTCTTTTGTTTTTGAGACAGGGTCTCACTGTTTGCCCTGGCTGGAGTGCAGTGGTGCCATTTCAGCTCAGTGCATCCTCGACCTCCTGGGCTCATGTGATTCTCCCAGGTCAGCCTCCCAAGTAGCTGGGACTACAGGCAGATGTCACCACACCCAGCTGATTTTTTGTACTTTTTTTTTTAGTAGAGACAAGGTTTTTCCATGTTGCCTAGGTTGGTCTTGAACTCCTGGACTCAAGCAATCTGCCCGCCTCAGCCTCTTAAAGTGCTGGGATTATAGGCATGAGCCACCATACCCGGCCTCATTTTTAAAAAATAGTCTTAGTAATGTTCTCTTCAACATGCTGTAGTGACTCTGGGAACATCTGGAAGCTGGAGGTGACTTTTCTCTTGCCTTTATACAACAATGTCCATGACAAACCTAGGCTATGTCCAGTTGGTGGAACACACCCGAGTACTGAATACTGTTTCCCCACTTGGGTTTCAAATTTAGCATGCTACAGTGCTAAAACTACCAATTTGGGTCAATTATGTCCCCCAAATATCATCTTTGCAAATATATGTCCAATCATACTGCTTTTCAACTATGCCTGCAAGAAGAATAAGCGTTTCCTCATCAGCTGTAGAAATCATATTCTCTTTTGTCACAAATATGAAATGAAATAATAAAAAGGATTTTTTACATCAACAGTTATAAATAATTAAAAAAGAACTAGTGCTGATGGTTTCACAGGCGCATGAGCTCTGCACGCTGTGTTTTCTACACTAGACTCTGACTGGCCTAAGATTTTATTTGCAACAAGATCATTATAAAAATATGCAAATGGTATTTCACATTAGACAAACAATATTTTAAATAATCCTCTATAATTTCCCCAAAGTGCAACTGCTTTCTTTATAGAATAGATTCAAGCCAGGCAGAGTGGCTCATGCCTGTAACCCCCTCACTCTGGGAGGCCAAAGTGATAGAATTTCTTGAGGCCAGGAGTTTGAGACCAGACAGGGGAACATAATGAGAACTAATTTCTACAAAAAATAAAAAAGTTAGCCAGGTGTGGTGGCACGTACTTGTAATCCCTGCTATTTGGGAGGCTGAGACAGGAGGATAACTTGAGCCCAGGAGTCTGATACCAGCGTGGGCAACATAGGGTCTCCCCATCTCTTCAAAATCACATACTGATTTACAATGATCAGGGAGCTGGAATACATTTAAGAGCTGCAATTGAATATCTAATAACTATTATTAATACACGTAATGGGTAGCCAGTTCCTGGGCTGGTTAATATCGTTTGCAGGGTTAAAGATTCAGAAAATGTTACCGTAAAAAACAAAAGGTGGATTTACAGATTATTTGAACTAAAAGGGGCCCCAGTGGTCATCTAATCGGATGCCTTCATTTTCCATAGAGCTTAGTTTAGATAGATAGATATTCACCTAGACAGACATGCACCTGAGGTCCACAGCAGGGTGGCTGCCCATGTGACACAGGTAAGATTCCCAGCCCAAGGCTCCTTCCTTTTGCCTGAAGGTGCCAGTGACACCAAAGGTGACTTCTCAGGGTCTCCATTTTCTCTTCAGTGAAACTGTGATCTTCCTACGTACTCCCTGTGGTCACTTCTATTTACAGACCTTACATGGCCACAAGGGTGGGTTTTCCTCAAGGGAAACATTCACAGCCTTGTCTCTTTAGTTTGATGTTGTGAAAATCATCAAAACATCTAAACTTCTGCAGTCTTAAGACTATGGTTCATGATGCTGTCATTTCTTGATTTTTCTCCAAAACCCTAAAAAACACCTTGTACATAGTAGGTATTCGGTACATCACTGTTAAAGATAAGCGGAAGAAAAGACATGATCTGAACCCAACTATCACTCAGTGAAACATCCATGTCGATTTCACAGGCTCTCAGTTCCTGGGGAACTAAGTCATTGAGGAGGCTTTAGACAATTAACAGCAGGGATAAATGGCCGATTCAAGGTTTCCTTATCAAATAAGTGGGAAATAATTCTTCTCTGCTCTTCACATGACATTAACAGAAGCTGTGCTAAGCTAGAATATAATTCTGAAACATAAGATGCCATCATTGATATATTTCATTATTAAATAAGATATCTGACTTATACAGCACTCAGAAAAGGGAATAAGAGGTCCTCTTCCTTTAAAACAAAACTTTGCAATGTGCAAATTCATGTGTACTAAACTTTATATTGGAAGGAAAATGTTAGAGATAGGAATGACATCTGCTCACTGTTTTGCTATTTTTAAAAGTGTCTATATTTTGAAAGCTTTATTTACTGGCCTTGTACAAACAGAATGAAGATCTTGAGGTGTGTTTAGTTGCTGCTTTTCCTGCAGTTATCACAGAAAGCCTCTTTAGGTACCTCTTTATAATGTAGTGTCAGGCTATCGAATTTTCCTCTTGTATTTTAGCTACAAAACAAACTGCCAGCCAGGCACGGTGGCTGACACCTGTAATCCCAGCACTTTGGGAGGCCAAGATGGGCGGATCACAAAGTCAGGAGTTTGAGACCAACCTGGCCAACACAGTAAAACCCCATCTCTACTAAAAATACAAAAAATTAGTTGAGCATGGTGGCAGGCACCTGTAATCCTAGCTACTTGGGAAGCTAAGGCAGAAGAATCACTCAAACCTGGGAGGCAGAGGTTGCAGCAAGCCGAGATCACGCAACTCACCAGCCTGGGCGACAGTGCGAGACTCTGTCTCAAAAACAAAAACAAAACACCTGCCAAGGACCTTGACTGTGTATGTCATTGAGTTTGTTCCTGGGAAACAGTTAACATTCTGAAATGTTTCTTCTTTACATAGACTCTGCTCTCTTAGATTTGTTTCCTCTGGTTTAATGGATAGGAACTATTTTTAGTTTAAAAGTGCTATGCTCTTCATTGAACATATGTATAGTCATGTATGTTTATAAATTAAAATTAGAAACACAAACTATATAACCATTAATAAAATCTCTTAGGACTTATATGGCATAATTTTACCAGCTCTCTAAATAATTTTTAAAAAGCTCTTCAAAGGGCTGCCTCACATATTAACTGTTATGTATTAAGTACACGTGATACTGCTGGCTAGGTATTTTAGAAGGAAGGGGGCCACATTAAAAGAGGGAGAGAAGCAGATTTCAGGGTCAGAAAGGTCTGTGATTGGATTCTGATCCTGTCACCTGCTGTGTGTGATTTTAGGTATGTGATTCATTGTCCCTACCCTTCTTTTCTTTTTTTTTAAGTTTTATTTTTGAGATGATGTCTTACTCTGTCACCCAGGCGGGAGTGCAATGGCACAATCTTGGCTCACTGCAGCCTCCACCTCCCAGGTTCAAGTGATTCTCCTGTCTCAGCCTCCCAAGTAGCTGGGACTACACGCGTGTTCCACCACGCTTGGCTAATTTTTGTATTTTTAGTAAAGACGGGGTTTCATCAAGTTGGCCAGCCTGGTCTCGAACTCCTAGCCTCAAGTGATCACCTGCCTCAGCCTCCCAAAGGGCTGGCGTTACAGGCATGAGCCACTGCGCCCAGCCCTCAATGTCCCTAAGTTTCAGTTTCCTCACTGGAAATGGGGATAATGGATAGTAATGTTAGCAAACATTCATTGAGTGTTACTGTGTGGCAGGAGCTGGTGTAAGCATTTACATTTTAAAACTCATTTGCTCCTCAGGCCAACCCCATGACCTAGGTAATATTATCCTAATTGACAGCTGAGGACATCGATACATAGGGTGACTAAATAAACTGCTCTAAGTCACAGGGCTGGTGAGCCAGGACGTGAATCTGGGAGCTGTATATACCTCCTCGTGGAGGAGTATTTCTCACATAGCCTTAAATGCTATTACTATCATTACGACTAATATTAAAATATAAATAATTTAGGAGAAAGCTAACATCCTATCCAAAGTCCAGCCCCATTGAAACTCCCCTCTTGAGAAAGCACTTCATGAGCACTAAGCTTGAAGAGCAGCACGCTGCTTCTGAGCACTTCAGCATCGAATGCATGTGACACCCATGTCCCACCTATCCTGGCCCAGACGGGGTATCTTTTCTTATGTGTATGCCTAAGTCTGCACGTACACATACATATGCTTACACGTTTACACACACACGCACACACACACTTATATATCTAATCTTTTCAGCAAGTTTCAGAGATTCCTTAGGGCTCTGGTAGCATCTTATTACTTTAAACCCTGACAATATCTTGACAGAGTGCCTTGGGGAAGTAGAAATTCAATAAGCATAAAAGATTTCATGAATAGCTTTCACTAACTAATCATTATTTTCCTTACAAGTTTCCTGGAAAAGAAGGTGCTAGCTATGGAAGACAACCACATCGTCCAACTGCAGTCAATAAAAGAAGAGAAAGATCAGCTCCAGGTGTTAGTATCCAGGCAAAGTTCCATCATCAAAGAACTAGAAAAAAAGTTAGTGACCGCCACGGTGAATAATTCCGTTCTGCAAAGGCAGCAACATCACCTCATGGAGACGGTCAGTAATTTAGTGACCATGATGTCCACATCCAACCGTAAGTAAAGTGCACATGATGTTCTCCTTCGGCTGTAACAGCCTTTAGTCAGTAAGACTCTCAAACGCTAAAAACTCTCCTCCTTCAGAAGAGACACTACTTCTCATCTATTTCTCATGAAATAGCCACCAATTAAAATGAAGGAGGAAGAGAAGGGGAAATACATACTATCCCAGTTATTGTGAAGCAAACACCCCAAACATACTTGTGATTTATGGCAGTAAATATCCTACTTTTAGTTAGTTCCATCATTAACAAGAAGGTCATCCTTCTAGTTGACTGAGCAAATTATTAAACCACAACAAAGATTAATTTATTTGGGTTTGAAATGGTAAAAATTATATCAGACCCATGGGATGGCAATTAAGATGAAATGAGACAATACTCTCAGTGAGTGGCATCGACTGGCACTTAAGAGACACTGGTTCTCTTCTCTTGCCAGATTCTTAAGCACATTTTGCTTTCCTTATTGTTTTACTTTCCAGCTTCTCTTAGATATTGGAGGGAAGGGCGGGGTGTGGTGTCTCATGCCTGTAATTCCAGCACTTTGTGAGGCTGAGGCAGGCAGATCACTTGAGGTCAGGAGTTCGAGACCAGCCTACCCAACATGGTGAAAGCCCATCTCTACTAAAAATACAAAATTTAGCTGGGTGTGGTAGTCAGCACCTGCAATCCTAACTACTCGGGAGGCTGAGGCAGGAGAATCACTTAAACCCAGGAAGTGGAGGGGGCAGTGAGCTGAGATTGTGTCACCGCACCACACTCCAGCCTGGGCAACAGAGTGAGACTCTCTCTCTCAAAAAAAAGAAAAAAAAGATATTAGAGGGAAGAAGGGATGAATCTTTGGTTCTTAAAGATGTGATGAACAATCTCTGGCATTTTTATTTAAACTTTTTTCTTTTTGCTTTCTTTTTCTTTCTTTTTCTGAGAAAGAGTTTTTCTTTTGTTGCCAAGGCCGTAGTGCAGAGGCACAATCTCAGCTCACGGCAACCTCCGCCTCCCAGGTTCAAGTGATTCTCCTACCTCAGCCTCCCTAGTAGCTGGCATTATACGCAAGTGCCACCATGTCCAGGTAATTTTTGTATTTTTAGATGGGGTTTTACCATGTTGGCCAGGCTGTTCTTGAACTCCTGGCCTCAGGTGATCAGCCCACCTCGGCCTCCCAAAGTGCTGCGATTACAGGCATGAGCCACTGCGCCCAGTCAAATTTTCCTTAAAGGAATTGGATTGATGGTTTATCTCATAATGTCCTTTCAGCTTACACTCTTTTGACACAGACTCGCTTTGCACGTGAGTCGTGTAGACATATTCTTCAGTTCCATAAGGAACAGGATCCCACATTTTCCTTGGGTCATGCAGCTATGGCAGTTTTAACAGAAATATTTCAACAAGGTTTCTACCTAAACAAGTAAACAAACAGAAATAGTAGCACAATCTTGATGGGAAGTGGTAGCTTTGTCACTGGGCTACCAGTCTGCCATACCTGCTTTACAGCTGGAGTCTAACTCTCATACTTTTGGAAAGTCGTATATTTTAGGTCGCATTCACAGAAAAGGAAAAGGCAGTCACCTGATGCTGGCTGGTGGGAACAAGATAGAGTGAGTGCCAGTTCTGGACCACCCTATCTTGTAATAACGGTCCAAAATAGAGAGGACTGTGTAGCTCAGATTCTAGCAGAAAAAAGAAAGAAAAAGCCCATGCGAAAGACCGGCAGAATTGGTCTGGGATTCCCTCCCACACCATCTAGTCCATGAGGGCCTGTGCCATGGGAAGTCTCTAGGATAAAATGTAAATAGTGGCAAGAATACAAACACATACATATACACATTTTTTTTAATGTGACAAAAAGGGTCCGGGCGCGGTGGCTCATGCCTGTAATCCCAGCACTTTGGGAGGCCAAGGTGGGTGGATCGCCTAAGTTCAGGAAATTGAGACCAGCCTGGCCAACATGGTAAAACCCCGTCTCTACTAAAAATACAAAAAATTAGACAGGTGCACTGGCACGCGCCTATAATCCCAACTACTTGGGAGGCTGAGGCAGGAGAATTGCTTGAACCCAGGAGATAGAGGTTGCAGTGAGCTGAGATCATGCCACTGCACTATAGCCTGGGTAACAAGAGTGAAACGTCATCTCAAAAAAAAAAAAAAAAAAAAATCCAGAAAGAAAGAAAAAAGAAAGGGAATGGGAAGTCCAAATATTGAGAGCAGAATAAAAATGGAAGAAGTTTTGTCACGCTATTCTACTCTTTAATGCAAACTGCTATTGGGTAGCTGCTCAAGTCCAAAGGAAACTAAATGTTTCCAACCAATATTCCAAAGAAAAGACTTGACCTCAGGTATATAAGAAAGAAAGAACAGAACAGACACCACGGCCTCAGTGGGATAATGGCCTGAAGGGACAGGCAATGGGGTCACACAATACAGGTAACAACGATTAGGGACATTGTTTTTAAAGTTTTCTGCACTAAGTTTACCCTACTGTACTCAAGATGAAAGACCTCCAAAAAGTAATAATATTTGTGATTGTGAAGTACTTTCACTTCATGTAATTGTTGATCAACAAAGAAAGTTTGGATTTTTTGAAGTATTTTAATTACATGGAATTGATGACCAAAATGTAAGTATTCAATGATAAGAATTAATAAGAAAACAGGCTGAAAGAAAACTTTTTGGGAAGGTTAAAAAAGTGGAACAGTCTTTTGCTTACTTAAGAATTCCAAAGTAATAAAACTCCTCAAATGATTAGGTCTCAAAATAACAGATCTTTGTCTTTTTATGTACTCCATTTAAATGCCTTACTATTTTTTTTTCAAAGCAGCTAAGAGCCCCACTGTTGCTAGAGAAGAACAAATCAGCTTCAGAGACTGTGCTGAAGTATTCAAATCAGGACACACCACGAATGGCATCTACATGTTAACATTCCCTAATTCTACGGAAGAGACCAAGGTGAGGTGTTCGTTCCCCACAACTAACTCCCTGGTTCTAGGCAGGCCACTTTAGAGAGTGGGGAACCAGAGAGCAGAAGTCTCTCCCCAACGATCTCCCCGAGCCTCACACAGTATAAAGCCACCGTGACTGTGTAGCCACCTCACACAGGGCGCTTGCCAAGGGCTCTACGTTCCACTGCTGTGCGGAACTACAGAAGCCACACAGGAATGACGTAGAAATGGTATCCTCGGCAAGAAATATATCCTCCTTGCATTTTGCTTGAATAATGTATACTGTCAATTTTCTCTCCTGAGGTGCCAGACTCATTTCATTAATTTTAAAGAAAATGTCTTCTGGGAACTGAAGTTCAAATAACCACAGTATATCAGCTATAGAGGTTTCACGAGATTAATAATTTCTATTGCCGTGCCAAAGACACTTTTCAATGATGCTAGTGTTCCTTTCTTTTGTGTCTGCAACTTGCACAGTTTGCCACCGCTGCCTTGCCTCATGCGGGGATGGTAGCAGTTTTACCCACCATGGCCTTTGCTCTATCTGAGCAAACACTAACACGGTGCCTCAGACCAGCGGTGTCTTAGCATCATGAAAACTGCTTCAAGCTTGTGGACTTGCTGATGGGTCTCGGGGACACGCAGGACTCTGAGGTCCACACCATGAGAACCGCTGGGGCAGGTGATTCTAACCTCATCTAACACAGTCTGGAAGACTCAAAACACACCGAAGACAGCATTCCTTTTCTTCTTAAGCCGGGGAGTTCACTTCAAGGCATATGTTCATTCATCGTGTGTAACGTGAGTGGACAGCCAGTACTCACAGCAGGCAGAGCCACAACACGGCTCACCTGTTATTCCTAGCTGTGCAAGCTCACCCAGAGAGCCTGTCTCCTGAGCTTTAGACGAGGGGAGAAAGGGAAAAATCACTCTTGGAGAATGTTTCAATGTGGCTTCTCTTCTCTTAAACATTTGATAGGGCAGAATGATAGCATAAGAGAATCAGTGTGAAGTGTTACGACTGTATACATTAAATGTCTATAAATATATTTGTATATAAATGTAAAAGCAGCTACATATTGAACCAATGCAAATAACTACAGAGAAAACACTGGATACTGTATCGAATGGAAATTTTAGAGGCTCGGGAAGTATTATCTAACTATTATCCTCAGTATTTAATATGGTATTAAAGAAAAACACTTTAAAAATACAAGGCCTAGAACTTGAAACAGTAACATATATCTTGATTAAGAATGAAAAAGATAAATATTATGATATTCAACATAATACTTTCCAGAGAAACCTTTCTAATTCCTTCATGCTGCGTTAAATCAACCTTGAAAATTAGTTAATGTCCCTAGTGCCCTAGAAGCAGTACAACAGGGGAAGGACGGGAACGGACCCACAAACGACGCAGTCTGCTGCAGAAGAAAAAGCAGGGAACAGACACTAGACTAAGCCTTTCCATCTCTTTTGCTATCTGGTTTTCATGACAGTTCTTTGCATGCCACTGTCTGTCACCAGATGTTGACATGTTCTTGGCCTAGTGGTAATGGGGACAGGAGTGTCAAGGCGGGGGACAGAGGACGCCTGTGAAATGGGGGTGCCTGGAAAGCGATGCAGAGGGACAGCCCTGCTAACCGTGCAGCCCTGTTGTGTTGCTGGATGTATGTTTCTCAGCCTAAGCGCAAGCTTCCCACCCAGTGCACTGTCCCACCCCCCCCCGCCCTGGAATGACTGAAATACTCTGCAGAAAGATGAAAACATATAGTACTCCGAGATTATAGGAGCTTCAGGTCATGGTTGGAAACATTAGGATTTATAGTCCCTTTAAACACTTGCAGTAAAAGAAACTCATTTACACAGCAGGGAACAATAAGCTTTCAAAAACCTCAATTTTCTATTCTCAAAAATAAATGGTGTCGCTTGTTACCTCTAAATTCCCTTCCAGACTTAAGGCTCCATAACTCACGAGCTGATCCAGGGAGAGACTCAGATGTGGATGTAAATCCCGGCTCTGCAATTTGCGGCTCTGGGCAAGTCATGTAACCGTTCTGAGCAGGCAGTTTCCTACTGTGTAACACGACAATGAGACCCTCAGCCTGAGAGGTTGTGTCAACACAGGGCCAGCCTCTGGGGTCCAACCTGGGGCAGTACATGGGAGTGGTCACCATTTCACTCCCTCCAAAGACTACCAGACAACCTCCCCGCCTGGCAGTGTACCCACTTCTGCCCTGATTCATCTAATTCAAGAAAAGAACGTTCAGCTGGTCTTTGAGCAGATCTTTTCCTAAAAGGACAATATATTGCAACTTCAGTTGTAAAAAATTCATCAGGTTCTTATACAAGAGAAAGACTGCAAGATGGCATTTATCAAAAGCGTGGACACTTTTGCTAGAGACACGGTCGTTTCCTCCCTTACATTTCACAGGACCCCTGGCTCCTAATGTTTGTCCCTGTGTTTGCTATTTAATCCGTCACTTAACCACGGCCTCAAAGCTGAAAAACATCAGGCTCTATAGAAAGAGATCAGGTTCCTGCACCATGCAGCAGCGGACAGATTCAAAATATTGACTGCCCTTAGGTTTGCTGTAATTGGAGTGGTAAGGTCGTGGGAAATATCTGAGGACTTCTCCTCTGGTCCTGATATAATCGATTTCAGCACTTTTACTCAGTGTCTTCTGGCTGTGTGGATAACTCTATTTGGACGCTATCTTTCCCTGCAAGTTTTATAGTCCAATTAATGCTAATACTCCAGTTTTTACAAATCCTCTGTTCTTTTTTCTAAAATCCTGGATGCAGTACTAAGAAAATGCTCTAATAACCTTATCATCACCAATGGAATCAAAGAGAATACTGATACGTCTCGAATCATTTATGTGCTGGCAGTGACTCTCAGACATTTGAGAGCCTTGCCTCTCAACTTCCATAACAAGATAAACTTGTTCTCTGAACAAGAGAGAACATGTATTTAAATAATGGTAACTTCACAGCAGTGATTTGACACTGAAGAATCAAATATTCTTGGAACAAGGAGCGGCTCATCAAGAACCATATTAATGCTTTCAACCCAAGAGCATGCCATTTAGGACACAGAATTAACTTCAGTATATACACATGAATCCTCAAACCAACATAGCCTATTTAGCTGGTTTGTGAAATCGTTTTCTAAAAGACATATTGACAGAAGTGAGCAGCACTGACCATGTTGTTGACTGCAGGCAAATGAGAGGCAATATTATTCATGAACTGATTTAAACTTGGAGCTGTGTTGAGGGACTTTTGGCCTATTCACAAAAGAGTCAGGTTTCTCTGTTTTGGCAACACGATGTCAGTGGAAAAAAACATAACAGGAATTAAAGAGATCTTATTTAAATGCTACATATCACTTAGTAGGTGAGTAACTGATCAAATTAATCTAACTTTACTCAATCTTTCCTCCTTTCAAAAATGCAGAACTGTGATAGTACAGCAGAGGTGCTGTGAGACTATGGATAATACACACAAAGTACCCGGCAGAGTGCTTGGATGAGAGTGGTGTGTAGCAATGATAATAAGGATTATAGCAATACGCAATCTAATGAGGGGTTAGCTTGAGCGACCGATCCTCTAGGTCTGATTAATTTTAAATGGGGAAATAATTCTCTTCTTAATAAATGTAATGTTTAATAATGGCACATATCTTTCCAAACATGAGTGCCATTGGGGAAGGCAATATGAGCCAGGTGACCTTCCTGGAGAGAGACCAGAAGCATGCTGGGGTGAAGTCTCCTGCAGACCAGGCTGTTCCAGGGACAGTTCTCCGGTTCCACTGGCAACGAGGCATCAGGCAGCCACCGAACTTCCTCTGCGTCCCTCTTTCCTCATGTAGGAAATGAAGGAACAGGACTAGGCACTCTCTTGGTGCTCCTCTAGCTCTCCTCTCTGGGATTTTAACTCGTAAACAGAGAACAGTTTGCACTGAAGCTTACCCTGCCAGATCGCCTCCATTATTCTCAATAAGACCATGGAGCACAACAAAGGAAGAATATCTATCACTGGTTTTGAACCTTAACTTCAGTATGTCCTACCTTGTATGCGGCAGAAAATTTATCTTACTTTCTGGAAAACATGTTTCGTTCTACTGTAATCTTATTATTTAAAACTATTGATGTAATCTTATTTTCAGGGGTTTTTAATTTCATAATAAAACTCCAGCTGAGTTGAAATTGAGCATGCATGCGCTTAGCTTAAGAAAGAATTCTGTGTTCTGGACAAAGTTTAAACCCACAGAGCCAGTTTAAGAGCAGAAACAAAAAGGGTTGCTTAGAGAAAAACTGTGGGCCGTGAGCAATGTACAGAGAAGCCTTCAGTCATAGCCTTGGGGCCAAGCTGCTAAGCCAAGCTCAGGTCACACACCTTGCGCCAGGACAGCAGAGCCTCAAGGCCGTTGTCCTCAGAGGTGAACCAAAAAATCTGATTTGCAATGCACATAAAGGAAGCCTAACAGCCCCACAGTGTGAGAATGTGACGGGAGTCCTGCAAAGCCTCGGATCAAAGAGCATCCCCTTCACATGGCTCTCTGCAGAGCTGGCAGGGGCTGGCAATTAGTGAAAGGTTTCAAGTCTGTGAACACAAGTCAATGGTTTTCTACAGGAGGGGGATGTTGGGTTTGGGGCCAATCTGCCAAAATGTGCCATTCACAATGAACCTCTGAAAAACAGCCATCTCAGAGCCAGCCATCAGGGTGGGGTTGTGAGCCTGGAACAGATGATGACAAGCAACTCATATTCTCATCAACACTTTGTATTATATTACTGTTTGTTTTTCACCATCATTTTAAATCCATCTCTTTCAATTTATTTAAAACCATCTGTTTCTTAGACAACCCCGATGGTCTACTTGTGCGTTATATCCCTGGCTGAGTTCTGTACTCGGGGTCCACATTCCTCCTGCTTCTGCTACCTAAGGGGGTCCTCCGTCACTCACATCCTGCGTTTCCATTTGCAGGCCTTCTGTGACATGGAAGCTGGCGGAGGCGGGTGGACAATTATTCAGCGACGTGAGGATGGCAGCGTTGATTTTCAGAGGACTTGGAAAGAATATAAAGTGGTATGGACATTTTTAAAAAGCATCAGAAGAGAATTTCCCTTGGGAAAAATAGCTTTCAAGATCTGCAGAACCTTAACCACCAATCCCAAACTAACCAATGACTTTTGACATAGTTTTTAAAATCGGTGTTCAGATTAGTTCTTCAAATTGGTGTTTCAGTCTCCCCTTTAAAGCATGGCCAATGTAAGGCAAACTGCATCAAAACAGAAGCTGCGGCTGATGCGGAGGCTCACACCTGTAATCCCGGCAGCTCAGGAGCCCGAGGCGGGCGGGTCACCTGAGGTCAGGAGTTTGAGATCAGCTGGCCAACACACCGAATCTCTGTATCTACTAAAAATACAAATGTCAGCCAGGTGCGGTAGCGGGTGCCTAGAATCCCAGCTACTCAGGAGGCTGAGGCAGGAGAATCGCTTGAACTGGTGAGGTGGAGGCTGCGGTGAGCTGAGATCATGCCACTGCACTCCAGCTGGACGAAAGAGCAAGACTCTGTCTCCAAAAAAAAAAAGGCAAGGCTTCCACAGCTTGGCTTATTTTTAAAGCGGGCTCAGTGTTTTTTGGTAAGCCACTGTTTCATGGCGCCTCACATTTCCATCGACTGAGCTGTTGGTGCTGAGGCTTCTGCTGGTGGCTCCCCAAGTAGAATCCTAATACAAATTTTCTTCCAGCGACAGCTTAGTGTCATATAACTGACCTGTTTAAAATCCATTTTCCTATGCAAAGGACCCGAACTGTCACAGCACCAGAAGTAATTTCTGATATTTTATAGTTACTCTATGTTCAGCTGACGAACTATTCACTTCAAATACACAAAGAAAAAATGTGTGAAGTAATTGAATTTTAATTCAGTTAAAATTTGCATTACAGGGATTTGGTAACCCTTCAGGAGAATACTGGCTGGGAAATGAGTTTGTTTCACAACTGACTAATCAGCAACGCTATGTGCTTAAAATACTCTTTAAAGACTGGGAAGGGAACGAGGCTTACTCACTGTATGAACATTTCTATCTCTCCAGTGAAGAACTCAATTATAGGTAAGTGAATTATTTGTATTTGAAAGAAAAAGTTGAAAGATTTGCTGGGTGACTGTTCCAGAAAGTGAGATTTAACCAAGATCTAAACTACTCTTAGATTACCTTAAGTGGAAAAACATCTTGTTTCTCAAAATTATTAAGTTTCTCTGGTTTTAAAATTCTAACTTTGGTTATAGCAATATAAAGGAAACCTCATATGAACAGTATTTTGTCTGTCTGTTGTGCTTACTGTGTATCCTCAAAGCCTAGAAGAACCTTACCTGGCAGATAATTGGCTTTCATAGCTATTTGTAAAATAAGTGAATGGTAAGTGGTCCCATGATAATATATCATACGAATAGCATAACTGATGGATACTTGTGACTGTACTGTTTTATCTCAAAAGGCTTCAAAAGTTAATCTGTCTTTATGAAGTTTAAACTCATTCCATTGTGCTCAATCTCAAAGTCAGGGTTGGTTGTCAAGTTTAGAGATGGCAGAGTTAGGTGGGATGGTTAGCCAACGCTCCTCTCCTCTATGGGAGATACATCAGATGCACAACATTCCCTGAGTGCTTGCCTTGTCCTCACCCATTTGGTGGCGATAATCATAAGTAACGGCATGGGCAACCTTGACCGGGAATTTACTTTCCGCTTCTAAAATGCCACGAGAGTAGAGACAGAACAGCAACGAGACGTGACAACCTAGTTTGCAAGATACGTATGGTGAGGCCATGTGCACGGTAATGCTGGTACACAAGCCACACAGAGGCACTCCGAAATGTGTGTGCAATGCTGGGGGGCAGAGAAGTGAGACTGTGTGCCCAGTGGCACCAACACCACCCTGAAGGAGTCTAAAGAGCACGGACTGGGGGCACCTGGTGATCATGGAGCACGTATTATCCACTTCAAGGTCAGAAGTTAGCAAATGAAGGTCAACACGAACATCACAAAAAAACAGTCATCATCTGACCTACAGTCTCGTCTTCATCTCAATAATGCCCAGCTCAGATGCTCTACTCAACAGAAATTCCACAGCCCAAACAGTCTAACAGTAGACACAATGTGCAAGTCTGTGAGCAGGCTGCCCAGGGGAGGGTTGCGGTGGGCAGCACAGAGAAGTGGCTGATCGTCAAGTTGTCTGAACAACCAACTGAAAACTACACAACACCCAGTATGTCCTGCTTTGCAAACAGTGGATGAAAATTCAGAAGCATGTTTGAGAAGCAGAGATACATGGATGTGACTCTTCAAACATCAGTCCTCATTATGGGAAGACCAGGCTCTCCTAGAGGGGCAACAACTGAGATGAATGAGATGATAGGTGTTTGGGTCTCACAGCAGTTCCGACCTGATTCCAAAGAGATCAAAACTTCAATGAATTTTGAGACACAAGTGGTTGGTCATTGTTTTACCTCCAAGTTAAATATTTTTTCAACTGGCAACAGTTAGGAATCTACAACAGAAGAATTAAAAAAAAAAAAAAAGCAGCACAGAAATTAAGGATTAGGCTGTTTGTATAAGAAGATTTTTACAAAATGGGTCATTACCCTTGTATGCTGACATTATAAAATATTTTAAACTGAGATGGTTCTTAACAGATATTTCCTTTAGAAATGCAATCAGTTTTTGGATAGGCCATTTAGAAAAACACACACATTGGCTTAAAGTTTAGTTGAATTTGCTTGGTAAGATAAAATAGATATTACATCAAAATTATTATCCTAATAAAACATGATGGTAGGGTGATAAGAGAGCTGTGAGGGGAATGAAACCTTTCAAAACCACAAATTGTATGCAGCATGTAAGGGATTTCTTTTTCCTGAAGAAATGTTCTCCAAATGTTAGAAAACTTGAATACACGTGTTATAAGAAATGGATAAATGCATCAACAGAATTAAATTCTTTCCAATAAAACTAAAAGCTATGTGTATATTAAACCTTAAAAATTGGTTACTTTTCACGCACATTCTGGCAGTTTTATATACACTAAGGTTTAATTGTTTTTTTTTTTTGAGACAGAGTTTTGCTCTTGTTACCCAGGCTGGAGTGCAATGGCGCAATCTCGGCTCACCGCAACCTCCGCCTCCTGGGTTCAGGCAATTCTCCTGCCTCAGCCTCCTGAGTAGCTGCGATTACAGGCACGCGCCACCGTGCCCAGCTAATTTTTGTGTTTTTAGTAGAGACGGGGTTTCAACATGTTGACCGGGATGGTCTCGATCTCTTGACCTTGTGATCCACCTGCCTCGGCCTCCCAAAGTGCTGGGATTATAGGCGTGAGCCACTGCGCCTGGCCTGGTTTAATTGTTAAATGTTGACACTACCTCTTTACTCCACTGTTATATAAAATCATCCCTGGCAAAACTGCAGAGATTAAAAAAAAAAAAATCAACCAATATCAATATAAAGTAACTTCAAGAATGTGGCTATTCTTAATAACCAAATTTTAAAGAAAGAATTTTAAACCAGTGGGCCATAAAAGAACCTAAAATTTTACATTCTCCCTTATTTTTCTTGCCTCTGGGGAAAATTTGACAAGTTCTCTGAGAACTAAAAATGTTCAAGGAGACGGGAGAGTTAAAAGATAAGCAAGGGAGATGTTCCTCTCAATCCTGCCTATGGGTAATGGGAAGACAAAGGAAAGAAAAGAAAGTGTTTCAGAATCCCAACAAAGATGGGCATTTATGATTCACATTTTGCAGTATGCATTTAGAGACAGAGCTAAGGCCAGTCTCATTTTTGAAACATGTAGGAAAACACGGAGACTCACATGTCCAGTCCATGCCTTAGGATGAAGTTTCTAGGGCTGCCTTAACACTGAAGTAACTTAGGAGCAACACTTACGGAGCTCCACATCACATGGCCTCGCCCTCATATTTCCACAACTTTCTCCAACAAACAAACATCTCTGTTTAGGTGTGTGCCAGTGTTGAAACATGGCAGAGGGGTTTGCTGCATCTGGTGCAAATCCTACCTCCATGACTCAAGAGTCTGACCTCGGACAAGTTCATATCTCTGAACCTCCGTGACTTCCAGTGCAAAAACAAAGATGATGGCCACCACCGTGGGTGGTTTTGAGCATCCAATGTGCATGCAGGTGTAAGTACCTGGCCTGGCCTGACCAGCACGTAGAACTAAAAGAACTTTTTCCCTCTTCTTTGCACTCTTCCAATATAAACTCATAGAAATTATATTATACCACTGTGGCAGTTAGTAAACATTAGCAGGTTTTACAAGGAAGGGCATCATGTTGGTGCTTCGAGCACACTTCTCCTGCCGCCACTGCAGGATTTGCTTTGCAGGCTCCTTGCCTGGGTCTTCATGTGCCTGTTTCTCCATCAGGATGTGAGGACTCAGCGTGCCAACATGACATACCCCATTACGTGAATGCCTGCTCTCATCTGTCCTAAACCATTTGCCAAGGGGCTTCTTTGCAGCAGTAGCTCTTGAGCATAGTTATGGGAAAAAATTATTTTAAACCCTCAAAACATATTTTCTTCTCCCTTCCCTTATATGTTCCTTGCTGGTACACAGACGACCAATGTAAGCCGTACTTTTGCAATACAACTTACTATGGTTCGACTTACGATGGTGCGAACGTGATACACATTCAGCAGAAACTACACTTTGGGATTGAAATTTGGATCTTTCCCTGGCTTATGATATGTGGCATGATGCTCCCTCGTGATGCTGGGCAGTGGCAGTGAGCCACAGCTCCCAGTCAGCCCTGTGATCACCTGGGTTAACAAGACACTGCGTGCACCGTGCTGCCAAATGGCTCTGCCTGACTGTGGGCTAATGTGAGTGTTCTGAGCACACTGAAGGAAGGCTAGGGCTAGGCCAGGATGCTCCAAAGCTCAGGTGTATTCCATGTATTTTCAAGCCACAACATTTTCGACTGACAGTGGGCTTATCAGAACAGAGTCCCATGGGGAGGCAGGGATCGCCTGTATTGCCAGTAGTGTCTGACTAAGACATATGCTCGTTTCTCAATGTCTACCAGTTTTATTACATTATACTACTATACAGACATGAGGCAAAGCAGCCATAAGATTTATTTTCAGCACCGTTCTCTAGATTCCTGCCCCAAACTCAGTGGCCATTCCTCGTCTGCTGCCTTCTCCACCCCACCCCCCCACCTCTACAGAAAATGATGTTTGCGGTTGGCCTCTTGTCTCTATGGAAGATGACTGGAGACCTGGCAAGGGGACCCTCGTGTTGCATTTCTCTCTTCTGTTTATCTGAAAGCAGCAGAAAAATAAATTACAGGGCACTACAGTCGCTGCTGGTAGCTGTGTAAGTGATGTGTGTTGAAGGTTTCATGAAAACATCCCTCGCTGCTGAAGGATTTGATGATAAGTTGGTTCCTGTTTATACCAAGTGCAAAATATTTTGTCCGGAGTATGCATTAGTCCACCAATGAGTACAGAACACACTTCTGTAGAATGGAATTCTTCATTACAAAAAATTTTCCACTACGGTAAATCAACGACCCAAGCCAATTAAATCTGTTGTTTTTTTCTTTGCACGCTTACAGGATTCACCTTAAAGGACTCACAGGGACAGCCGGCAAAATAAGCAGCATCAGCCAACCAGGAAATGATTTTAGCACAAAGGATGCAGACAACGACAAATGTATTTGCAAATGTTCACAAATGCTAACAGGAGGTAGGGATGACTTTCTGCCTTCCTATTTGTATTGGCAAGGAACAATTTCATAGAGCGAAAGCCTGGCAAGGACTTCAAATTGCGATTGGTAACGATGTCCAAAATTTCATACGCAGACACACTAGTTTCGTATAGGTAAATGTGTTTTTCACTTTTTTAGTGTAAGTTTTAAATGAGAGTATGACATGGAGTTAGACTTGTCAGGAAGCCAAGTGTGTCTCCTCAGGGCCTAGCCTGGGCAAGGAGAGGGGACACTGAACACTTAGCAAGCTCTCCTGAGTTTGTGCTTGCTGGATACTACAGAGATGGTTTAATTACATTTTGCTTTATTTAAAAAGTTAAAAATTCAAAGTGGCAACAAAAACAGTAATATAGATTATAGAAGTATTTCCAACTAATAATTTAATGTTCAAACAAGAAATTTCCAGTTATCTTTTTATTTATTATTTTGAGACAGAGTCTCACTTTGTTGCCCAGGCTGGAGTATAGTGGTGTGATCTCAGCTCACTGCAACCTCCACTTCCCAGGCTCAAGCGATTCTCCTGCTTCAACCTCCCAGTAGCTGGGATTTTAGGCGCCAGCCAATGCACCTGGCTAATTTTGTATTTTTAGTAGAGAAAGGGTTTCACCGTGTTGTCCAGGCTGGTCTCGAACTCCTGGCCTTAAGTGATCTGCCCACCTTGGCCTCTAAAAGTGTTGGGATTACAGGCATCAGCCACGGCACCCAGCCCTAGTTGTCTTTTTAAAAAAGATTAATATATAGCAAACACCTATAAACAGAGGCAAGTTAACCAACCTTTTTTAGTACCTCAAATTAAAATGAGTGATCTTCTACTTTAAGGCCTTTTTTGTTTTCTACTTTTAATGTCAGGTTGCTGTAAAACAGACAATGAAAACCACACTCATAAGCAAAAGACTGTTGTAGCAGTCACTTAAAATGGATAGGTTGGTATTCAGACACATTTGAGAGCTCATAGGAACCAACTTTTAGAAAATGTAATTTTTCCGATTTTTCTAAAAGTTTAGGAATTCACTGACAGGAACAAACACTACTTAATAACGGAGACAAGAAAAAGCCTGATGAATGCTGTCAAGTTAGTTCTTAGAAAACACTGAAAGATTGAAAGTAGCCATAAAAACTCTGCCAATAGTGCAAACTGGATGTAAAGAATAACAGGAAAACTGGCAGGGTCTAATTTCTAGAGAACATAAATCAGATTTGCAAAAATTAATACGTTACCCAGGAAAACCAAGGGTAAGAGCTATGGTCAACATATTTTATAAATCTAAGGTACTACTAAAACAAATGGATGAATCAAGTTATGATGTATTTACGCTATAAGAATCACTAACAGTCAAAAGGAGGACTTAGTAATGAAAGGAGTATGAAATTCGGCAATTTTCATGTCTTTACATTTCATGGCTTTTATACTGAAAGAATCAGGCCTCATTAAAAAAAAAAGTAATCCTCTGCTTCCTGAGATAATACAACTGTGATCTGGTAACATAGGTCCTCCGTATTAACCATTATTACACCAATGGGCAAAGCCCTGATGTTGATTTTGCAAAGGCTTCTCAGAAGTTTCCCTCATCCTGGCACGATAATCCTTCTGAAAGATGAACAGCGGGGAAAGCGGTCGGGTGGAGGAGCCACAGATACCTAGGGCTTTGTTTCCTGTCAACCATTCCCCCCGTGCTGGACCCAGCTCTCTCCTTGAGAGGGTGGTGGTTTCTAGACCACCCGTATGCGGGGAGCTTCTCAGGAGAGTAGGAGAATCACATTAATAACCAAGGAAACAATATATTTACTTATTCAAATCATGATTTAGGGGCTGAGAATCTAACTGGAAAAGAGGCTAGGGAGAGGAAAAGCAGCCCGAGAGAGAAATTGGAGTGGTCTTGCCTGTGAAGAGGTCAAATTCCAGCCAGTGGTCTGGACCATGAATGAAGCAGCCTAATGAGCAGCTCGATTTTGCATGGACAGCAAGTTTTATAGTCAGGAAAGCTCCAGAGGGGACTGACCTATGAATCTGTCAGAGTCCTAAATATGTGAAAGATTCTGAATAGAACACGTAAACTTCTATCCAGTCTACAGTCATCTGAATCAACTGAAGTCACTCAGCTGTCACCACCAGGAAAGAATGTAGGAACCTGGGAGAAAAAACTGGCACTCACAAACGGACGCGTGAACATAACATATACATATACATACATATACATATACATATACATATACATATACATATACATATACATATACATATACATATACATACATATACATATACATAACATATACATATACATAACATATACATATACATATACATATACATATACATATACATATACATAACATATACATATACATAGACATAGACATAGACATATACATAGAAACAATACATTACAGGTAAGGCTAAAGAGGCCCTACCAGTGCCATTCCCTACCTGCTGCTTGGGTCGAGGTTAATTGCCTTTATGTATTACTTTTCCTACATATGGAGAGATCAATCATAATTATTTTCTATATTTTAAAAATTAATATAAGGAGTATCATACTATATGTGTCCCTCCAACACAGTGTTTGTGAGATTTATTCAGATTAATATATGTAAAATCAAGGTCACAGTAGCCCTCCTTATCCTTAGGGGATCGCCCAGCAAATGCCTGAAATCACAGATGGTATCAAACCCCACATGTATATTTTTTCCTATTCACAGATATTTATGAAGTTTAATTTGTTTTGTTTCTTTTCTTTTTTTTTTTGCGACAGAGTCTCACTCTGTTGCCCAGGCTGGAGTGCAGTGGTATAATCTTGGCTCACTGCAACCTCCACCTCCCAGGTTCAAGTGATTCTCCTGCCTCAGCCTCCCGAGTAGCTGGGACCACAGGGGCCTGCCAGCACGCCACGCTGTATTTTTAGTAGAGATGGTGTTTCACCATGTTGGCAAGGATGGTTTTGATCTCATGACCTCATGATCCACCCACCTTGGCTTCCCAACATGCTGGGATTACAGGCATGAGCCACGACACCAGACCGAAGTTTAATTTATATACTAGACACAACAAGGGACTTAACACAATAGTAAAATGGAATAATATACAACACATTGCTTCTAATTTCATGGACATAAGATTTGTTCTTCTATATGTTTTAGCACCCTTAGTGTACGATTTTTTTCTTTCCTTATTAAGTCGGGACCTTTCACCTTTTCACTTAAACAAAGCGCTTTACAGCTTCTCTTTGGCGTATCTGGATTGCCAGCGTCATTACTCTCACACTTTTGGGGCTATTATTGAGTCAAGTAAGGGTTACTTGAACATAAGCACTGTGACGTTGTGACAGTGGATTTAATAACCAAGTCAGCTACTAAGCGATTAAGGGGTGTAGACAGCATGAATCCACTGGATAGAGGGGGTCATTCACATCTTGGGTGGGATGAAGTGGACAGCAAGAGATTTCATCCCATTACTCAGAAAGGCAGGCAATTTAAGGCTTATAGATTATTTCTGGAATTTTCCATTTAACAGTTAGGGCCTCAGCTGACTTCAGGTATCTGAAAGTGCAGAAAGCAAAAACTGCAAGTAAGGGGCACTACTGTGTTTCTTCCTCTCACAAATCCCAGCAAGCTCCTGTTTTTGGACCGAGCCCAGAAATTAAGGTGTAGATGGGGTTCCACTCCCAAACCCCCTGTGCTGGGCACCTCTCCTGCCCTGGCTTTAGCTGAGTGACTGCACACCCTCGCTTCAAACTTCCTTTTTGTCTCTGAAATGTACAGACTTCCTTTTTATGTAGCTCCACTGAGTACTTAATATTTTTGGTTAAATTTCAACCAAAAAAATCCTTTAACAGAGCAAGGGGAACCTGAGTGAGTCCAGCTTACCATGTTGCAGGGACTGGACAGTAATTCTGGTTGAAAGAGCGTTTTCCGACTGTTCCTCAGATATCTGCTTATCCCTGCTGTAAGTGTGTTCGCACTGTGTGCTTATCGAATTGAACCGTGGAGGAGTCATGCCTCTCCACGCAGCACAAGGCAAAAGGTGGAAGAACGCTTGCAAAAGAAAGCATTTGCAGTAATGGAACTGGATGTCACGGGCATTCAGCCGGAAACCCATCCCTCTGCCGGTAAACATCCTATACCTGCCATCGTCTGCATGTACCTACTCCACAGGCCTGGAATGTGCCTCCTGGCTTAGCTGAGTATGGCTGTCTTCGTGGAGGGAGTTGCCACCACCTAGTTCCTAATTCCTTCTGTGTTTTACTTTCACAGGCTGGTGGTTTGATGCATGTGGTCCTTCCAACTTGAACGGAATGTACTATCCACAAAGGCAGAACACAAATAAGTTCAACGGCATTAAGTGGTACTACTGGAAAGGTTCAGGCTACTCGCTCAAGGCCACAACCATGATGATCCGACCAGCAGATTTCTAAACACCTGAGTCCACCTGAAGAAGGATGTCTTGTGCTATTTTCAAAGACTTAAGCCCAACGCACTGAAAATCACGGCTGCGCGCTGTGTCCTCTTCCACAGCAGAGGGCACGCGCTCTGCAAGTCACGGCTGCGCGCTGTGTCCTCTTCCACAGCAGAGGGCACGCGCTCTGCGCTGATGGGTCCCACGTGCTCCAGATTAGAGCTTGTAAACTTGCTCACTTAAACTTGCACCACTTAACAGACCAATGCAAGACCCTAAACATCTGTAACTGCCATCGGACAGAACGCCCATGTAAAGATGAACCCAAGGCTGAGAATCAGATTGACAATTTACAGACTCAGCTGTCACAACCAAGAATGTCATGTGCAAGTTTATCAGTAAATAACTGGAAAACAGAACACTTACGTTATACAGTACAGATCATCTTGGAACTGCATTCTTCTAAGCACTGTTTATAGACTGTATAAAAACCCATATGTCCTGAATTCACCACTACTATTGAAATTAAAAGAAAGAAAAAAAATCCCTAAGCCATAAAAAGATATATTTGGGGTTATTCTGTGGAGGGGTTACTAGAAGTTTAATATTTGGAAAAACAGTGCATTTTCACCCCACCTCTTAGGTGCTTTAAATTTTAATTTCAGAAACAGCATATTTACATTTAGGTTGATGACTTAGTTTTAAGTTAATACTGAAAACATACTTCATGTTTATATGGTGAAAACTTCCAGGATCTCTGAAATTATCAACAGAAACATGTGCCATTTTAGTTTATATACAGATTGTATTATTTTTCTCTGCCTGATTGTTAAATATGAAGGTGTTTTTAGTAATTAAATATAACTTATTAGGGGATATACCTATGTTTAACGTTTATGATAATATTTACAATTTTATAATTTGTTTCTGAAAGAACCGATTGTGCCTCGTGATAACGAAACCTTTAATTTTTAATGATGAGGAAAATTATACATTTCATTCTATGACAAAGAAACTTTATCTTCTCATTATTCTAAAACAGATCTGTTTTCTTTTCTAGTAAGATATACTTTTTTAGAACTAAGCTACAATTTAATTTGTGGTTGAGAAAAGCCTTCTATTTAAGACATTTACAAAGCTATAATCTCAAGATTCACCCTTAAATTTACTTAAGAAAAAAAAATCCACACTAGTAAGATTTTTTAATGTCAATTAGCAAACTGAAAAAAGTGTTTCAAAGTACAAAAAATCTGATGTTCTTAATATATTTAAGTATTTGCAGAAAATTTGAGAACACAGAGCCAGGTGCAGCAGCTCGCGCCTGTACTCCAAAGTACTTTGGGATGCCCAGGCAGGCAAATCACCTGAGGTTGGGAGTTCAAGACCAGCCTGGCCAACATGGTGAAACCCTATCTCTACTAAATAATATAAAAATTAGCCAAGCATGGTGGCAGGTGCCTGTACTTGGGAGGCTGAGGCAGGGAGAACTGCTTGAACTGGGGAGGTGGAGGTTGCCATTAGCTGAAATCACGCCATTGCACTCCAGCCTGGGTGACAGAACAAGACTCCGTCTCAAAAAAAAAAAAAAAAAAAAAGCAAGAACAGAAAAAGAAAATTTGAGAACACAGCTTTATACTCAGGACTACAGAACTCCTAGAGTTTTAATTCCTTTTGAAATTTTCATAGTATGATTAATACTAATGAAGATTTGTTTAAAGCTTTATAATTTAAAGGAAATTTCTCATATATTCCTTTCTGAGTCATTTGTAAGGAAGTTCAGAGTCCAGTCTGCAACCGGCATTACTATATGTCTGTCTTTACCTTAAAGTTTACCACTATTTTTTCTTTATTCAATTTTAAAATCTAATTTATTTCCCCTCAACTTCTTCTCCCCCGATGTAGTTTTAGAACACACAGGTGTTGCTACATGTTTTGAGCCAATGATGGACTCTGGCAAAGTCAAGGCTGTGTTATTTCCACTAAGGTGCACTTTTCCAACAACTGTTCAACTGAGTCGAGAATCTCCCCTTCTTACAACTGTATCTACTTTACATTTAAGAAGGCTTTATGAATTCAACAATGGTATCATGGCCTTGTATCAATCTGCAAAACAACTGAAAGTAAGAAAATTTCACAGCCTCAAAGACAACAGCAAGTTTCTGTGATACCCCAATGACAACAATGATAGATACTTAGGCAGGGAAACGATAATGGAGGAGAAACTGGCAACACCACACTTAATTTATATCAATTCTCCATGTAGGCAGGTGAAATGAAATTCAAGGTCAAATCTCATGATGTCATTGAGTGTTACATACAATCTCTTATGACAGAGAGTGGGGGGAATTTGTGTTTTTACTTTACACTTCAGGTTCTTACACAGTATTTCAAACAGTCTTGCTTAGAGGAATTTTTTCTCTCCTTAAAAAAACATTTATAAAGCTGAAAGGAAATCAAACAGTAATCTTAAAAATGAAAACAAACCAACCCAACAACCTAGATAACTACAGTAATCAGAGAGCGTAATTCAACTGCTTGCTGTGTTATAGCCATACAGCCTACTCCACAACTAAATAACCATACTGGTGGCAGACACAAAATCACCATTTACCTTTCAGATATTAATCTTCTGAATAAGCTGTCACAAACCATTTAACATTTTCGAACATGAAAGGCAACTTCTAAACATTCCTGTATCCAACCAAACCTTAAATTATCCACTTAATTATTACTTAATCTTAAAACAAATAAATTAGAACCTGGAGCTTTTCCATTAAGCATTTGAAAGTTGAAGTGGAATTTAGGAAAGTCATAAAAATACAAAGACTGTGACCACAGCGCTAACAAGCCGTAATTTTTATACCAATCAGTTCTATCTCTATTAACAGTAAAAACATCAGGCAAGACATAAGACCACCTTCCCAAGATTTTAGTCTTTTTCATTTTTGTTTTTCTCGATTCTGAGGACTTTCATCATTAAATTTTCTTTGGACTGCATTCCTGACTACTTTTTGCAGAACGGTCTCAGGTTCTCACATTTGTTCTCACAAATAAATTGATAAAAGGTGTTAATTTCTGTGAATGTCTTTTTAATTATGGGCATAATTGTACCTGACTCGATAGACCTTAATCTACCCTTATGTTTTTATTAATTTCCTGAGAACACCAAATTGCATAAAACAATATCTGACTTACAGGAGCTGCAGGGAAGTGGTTAGAGAGTTCAAACGGCTCCTCAGAAATCCAGTGACCCGATTCTAAAGACCATAGCACCTGCAAGTGATACAATAAGCAGATTTACTATAGATTTATTAGGCTTAGTGGGCAATAAACCAACAGTCACTTTGAAGACACAGCAAAAACAAAACAAAAACTTCAACAGTGATATAAGCCACAGATCTGAAATAGATGTGTTCTCTACAAAGTGCCTTCAGAATCTTCATGTTGCATAAACATTATGAATGGTAATAAAAACTTGGTTAAGAAGAAGTCTCATGATAACAAGAAATGTGAGTCATTATTCTTGTGAGGCCAAATATTTAAACATTATCCGCTTTTTAAACATATGAAATATTATATATAGATTTAAAATTCCAAGTTTCTCATTTATGAAGTGTTTTATAAATAGTCCTCTGTAAATATTCCAGAATTGTATTAATTAAAACAATGAATTACAAGAAGACGGATCACAAGCCTAAATTCAAAAGCAACTCCTTTGGCTTGCGACTTTCTAACATTGGCTAATATTTTCAGAAGTCCTCCGGAACACACTTGAAATTCCTTCCGAGACTTTGGAAGAGTAAAATGTCCCATAAACAAGCTTAAATCATCATCCTCATCATCATCATCATCATCATCATCATCATCATCATCATACTCAGTATCTGAATCTTCCCACTTTTAAATAATCAACAATGTTTTCCTTTTTAATTCAGTAATATTTGAGGTTCTGCGGCCATCTCTACTCCAGGACCAAACTCCCTGAAAATCTGTCTTCATACACCAGAATTTTAGAGCTAAAATAAGAAAGCTGGATTACGTAATTCATCTTTATTGTTTATTATTTTTGAGACAGACTCTCACGCTGTTGTCCAGGCTGGAGTGCAGTGTTGCAATCTCAGTTCATTGCATCCTCTGCCACTCACGTTCAAACGATTCTCCTGCCTCAGGCTCCTAAGTAGCTAAGACTACAGGTGCCCACAACCACATCTGGCTAATTTTTTTTTGTATTTTTAGTAGAGATAGGGTTCACCATGTTGGCTAGGCTGGTCTCGAACTTCTGGCCTCAAGTGATCCACTGACCTCAGCCTCAATGCATGTTATTTAAAGAGATATACTAACAATACGTGAGGTTTCTCACAAACTCATATAATTAGCCCAGGAAATAAAATGTAAGAAGTTTCAAAATCAGGTTCATTTCACACAAGAAGAAACATAAAAGAACAGTACAATGAGAAAAGCAATGTACCAATGACAGAAGCCAGGGAACCAGCCTTAAAAATGTGTGTGACATTTAAGTTCAAATATAATCCATGTTCAAATGTCAACCAAATTTAAACAACCTTATGGAGAAAATTTATGTCCTCTGAATTTATACGTTTCTAAGTGTTAAGAAAATAAAACCATAAGAGGCTAAAGTAGAGTTCTGGTGTCAGTAAATTAATAAATTTAATTTACATAGGCATCCAGGAATTGATATTGTATAGAGATAGGAGAAAACACTAATTCAACTGTATTAAAATCATCAAATCAGAAATACAGTGTAAACACTTTGCTCTAGAACTTTCATTGGCCAAACACATCTTCACCTTAGTAGAGTGTTCAAAACAGTGAAAATCTTTGAAAAAGCACAGGCAAGGCTATCAGCAAATTTAAAAACATTGGCCCAACATCTTTCTCATAAGAAGGGTGGAGTGAATTCAGCATCTGCTGCAAAAGGAATTCAGCATCTTGTAGATAAGACATTCTGTAACGAAAATGATGGTCTTTAAAAATATTTTAATATTATCATTCATAAAATCCAAACCTTGCTGATGACTTTAAATAGGAACTGAGTCTGTGAATAGAAACTGCTTCATTTCTTCTTTTCTGTTTGTATGCACATTTTATTTCTCATCTTATTGCACTGGATACAACTTCCGGTTCAAGGCAGGGAAGGAGCAGTGAGAGCATCAGAGTTCTTTGAACTACTTTGTGAGGCAGATTTATTCAGTTTATTGTAGTATAGAGTATCATAAAAACCTAAAGTGGGCCTGGCACTGTGGCTCACATCTGTAATCCCAGCACATTGAGAGGCCAAGGTGGGCAGATCATCTGAGGTTGGGAGTTCAAGACCAGCCTGACCAACATGGAGAAACTCCATCTCTACTAAAAATACAAAATTAGTCAGGCATGGTGGCGCATGCCTGTAATCCCAGCTACTCGGGAGGCTGAGGCAGCAGAATCGCTTGAACCCGGGAAGGGGAGGTTGCAGTGAGCCGAGAACACACCATTGCACTCCTGCCTGGCCTACAAGAGTGAAACTTCATCTCAAAATAAAAGCAACCTTAAAGTGTTCAAATTAATGTATCTATGTTCGAATTAACATATCTATTATATTAATGTGTCTATGTGCAAATTAACCTATAGAAAGCACGTTTTCTTGTGTAGCTGTTTTTAAAGAATTTATATGTATATATATTTTTTTGTTTGCTTGTTTGTTTTGAGACAGAGTCTTGATCTGTCGCCAGGCTGCAGTGCAGTGGCACAATCTCGGCTCACGGCTCACTGCAATCTCCACCTCCCGTGTACAGGTGATTCTCCTGCCTCAGCCTCCTGAGTAGCTGGGATTATAGGTGTGCAGCACCACACCCAGCTAATTTTCTGTATTTTTAGTACAGACCAGGTTTTACCATGTTGGCCAGGATGGCTTGATCTCCTGACCTCATGATCCGCTGGCCTCGGCCTCCCAAAGTGCTGGGATTGATTACAGGGGTTAGCCACCACGCCCGGCAAGAATTCATATTTTAAAGCCACTTGAGCTTCACAGCAAAATTAAGCGGAAGGTACAGAGAGCTCCCATATGCCTCCTGCCCCACACATGCATCTCAGTGTCTACCACTGGAGCACGTGTCAGACCTAGTCCTCCCACGCTGACACATCATTACCACCCAAAGTCCACAGATTACATTACAGTTCCTCGTGAATGAAAAATGTACACTATGATTGAGTAAAGGGCTGGCCAGTGCTTGCGGTGCTTCCGCAAGCTAATTTCAACTTCCTATTTCTTTCTTTTCTTTAGACAGATTCTTCCTCTGTCGCCCAAGCTGCAGTGCAGTGGTGCCATCTTGGCTCACTGCAGACTCCGTCTCCCAGGTTCAAGCATTTCTCCTGCCTCAGCCTCCATGAGATTACAGGCACACACCACCATACCTGGCTAAATTTTTTGTTTTGTGGGTTAAAAAAATTTTTTTTGGTAGAGATGGGGTTTCACCACATTAGTCAGGCTGGTCTCAAACTCCTGACCTCAAGCGATCCACCTGCCTCGTCCTCCCAAAGTGTTGCGATTACAGGCATGAGCCCCTGTGCCCAGCCCTCTCAACTTCCTATTTATTCCTCAAAGAATAATTAGAAATTTCTGAGTGATCAAAGGGATTACAGCTAAATATCAGTAAATGTTACATCTCCTGTTAGGATCAATCAAATTAATTCTTATTTATTCATTAATTTATTAGTATTTTCTTAACTGCCTAAGAAATTTTCTTCAGCTAGGAAAAAATTTATTCACAAAGTATTTCATAAGCAAAAACACTGAACGAGGTACTCAATTTTTGACTTCTCAAAAAAAAAAAAAACCTAAAGAGGGAAAACAACAAGCAATTATTTTAATGTATACGTGATAAGAGAAAACTGCAGGGAGGGGAGGCAATCTGTAAGAGGAATTTAAAGTTGGGCCTGAAAAAATGACCACATTTCATCATGACTCCCTCCGGGTGTGAAAAGCACAACTGCAGCAGGAAGCTGACTTAACTCACTGGAAAGCGTTAGTGATTGTGTTGAAAACATTTGTCAACATTCACAGTTTTTGATAGGCAACATTACTGTTAATCATAACGCTAAGTTTATTCCAAATTTCTGAATAGCCAGCCTTATCCAAGTACACCACCCAGCACAGCTTACCACCCGCCATACGGCAAAATTCAACTGCAGTTGTGGGACTAAGATTACCTGTGGGAATGTGGTGGGGAGGGTGGGGTTGCTTCCTTGTGGCACACAAAAGTCAACAATATTCTTTGCATACAAAAGACTCCATGTTGTGTAAAACAGGGGTCCCGGTACCAGTCTGTGTCCTATTAGGAACTGGGCCACACAGCAGGAGGTGACTGGCAGGTGAGCCAGTCAAGCTTCATCTGCATTTACAGCCGCTTCCCATTGCTTGAATCACCACCTAAGCTCCGCCCCATATCAGATCAGCAGTGGCATTAGATTCTCATAGGAGCTCCAGCCCTGTTGTGAACTGTGCATGTGAGGGATCAAGCTCCTTATGAGAATCTAATGCCTGATGACCTGTCACCGTCTCTCGTCACCCCCCGACGGGACTGTCTAGTTGCAGAAAACAACCTCAGGGCTCCCACTGATTCTACATTATGGTGAGCTGTAGAATGATTTCATTATATATTACAACGTGATAATAAGAAAGTGCACAATACATCTAATGTGCCTGAGTCATCCTGAAACCATTCTTCCCCCACCCTCCCAACCCCCCAGTCCCTGGAAAAATTGTCTTTCACAAAACTGGTCCTTGGTGCCAAAAGGGCTGGGGACTGCTGCTGTAAAATACCACTTGATTAATTAAAACTCAAATCTGACAGTTAGAAACTTGTCCCACAGATGTAAGCCACAGGAGTGTAGTTAATTTCAAACAGTTCAAAAGTATGTTTTACGTTCCACTTTACTGGGTGATACTTTAGGAGTAAAGTTAGACACATTGAAAGTGATTGGGATGTTTTTGCCACTGTCTCCTGCATCCACCCTTCACTCCACCAATTTTGGTAAAAGTATGGTTGTAGGTGTTTATGGAAGGTGTAGAAACACACTCAGCATTTGCAAATTTCTTCCTTAAGAATAACAAAAGTAGGCTGGGTGCGGTGGCTCAAGCCTGTAGTCCCAGCACTTTGGGAGGCCGAGGTGGGTGGATCACGAGGTCGGCAGATCGAGACTATCCTGGTCAACATGGTGAAACCCTGTCTCTACTAAAAACTACAAAAAATTAGCTGGGCACGGTGGCGTGTGCCTGTAATCCCAGCTACTCAGGAGGCTGAGGCTGGAGAATTGCCTGAACTTAGGGGGCGGAGGTTGCGGTGAGCCGAGATCGTGCCATTGCACTCCAGCCTGGGTAACAAGAGCGAAACTCCGTCTCAAAAAAAAAAAAAAAAAAAAAAGAATAACAAAAGTAATAATTATTAATTTTTTACTGATTTAAGCTAACAAAATTATAAAACTCAATTACAAAGGTTTTTCTCATCAGATTTTATAGATCCTTTGTCTTAGTTGTTAGAGTAATCGATTTTCTCAGACAACATTTATCAGACTTTGCTAGTTTTTATGCTGTTTCAGATTTTTCTAAAGAAAGAAAAAGATTTGTGATTCTTCCTCAACTAGACAGTATAATATTGTCTGTGTTAAAAGCATAGAATATAAATATAATGATAGAATATAATATAAATTCTGTGTTAAAAGCACAGAATTCAACAACTGGGTTTAAACCAACATCCATCTTTTTGCAGATTAATGACAAGAGAAAGGTTAGTTAGTATTTCTGCCACATGAAGACATTATACATCATTATTAATGACAAGTACCCATGCAGTTAATGCGATAGTGTGACAACAGTTTATTTCTAGGTTACACTGAACTTCAGGAGACAAAATTGGGGACGCCAATGGTATAATTTTTAACAACAAAATAATTGGGTACTTATGTCCAAAGCATTTTCGAGCCAGAAAATAAAGGAGGTCGAGTCTTCTGAAGAGACCAGCTTGAAATGGCAAAATTTCAAGGCAACAATAGCTGTTCCAAAATAAGCTATTCCTCTGTATTTCCAACACATCTCACAACATCAAGCAATGCTTCCTATAATTCCATAAAGTTCTTTTAAAAATACAAACTTATTTAGTAGTTGTGGTACTGCCTTAACAAAGCAATTTTCCATATATGACATTGTTTTAAGTGTGGTGAAACTGGCATAAAATTAACCATTTTCAAGTGTGCAGCTCAATGGCATTTCATATCACGATCCTGTTCAGCCAGCACCCCTTCTAGTTTCAAAATGTTCTCATCAGCCCAGGAAAACATCCTGTACCTATTAAGTAATCAGCCCCCATGCCCCTCTCGCCTCTATTCCTGGTAACTTCTAATTTGTTTTCTATTCTATGGATTTCTCTATTCTGAATATATTGTCTGAAAGGAATTATACAACATGTGTCTTTTGTGTCCGGCTCCTTTCACTCAGTGTGTTCAAGGTTCAGCCAAGTTATGCTTTTAATGAATGCTACTGATCAGTGTCAAAAATGCTTGTTGAGGCCGGCACGGTGGCTCACGCCTGTAATCCCAGCACTTTGGAAGGCCAAGGCGGGTGGATTACAAGTTCAGGAGATCAAGACC